TGGCAGCATTGGACCTGGCAGTCTCCGGCTGGTGGTCGGCCATGGTGACGGCAAGCTCTTTATTTACGTCTATCCTGTTCTGCTTCTTTTCATCAAGCCCTTGCTCCCCCTTTTTCCCCCTTGGAGGATGTCTTGGGATATATGGTCAGATTGCCTCTTTGGGGTCTTTGGTTAGGTGGGAACAGAAGCCATCTGTCCTGCTTTGTATGGGTCCTGACTGCCTATTCTTGTGTTTGGGCAAAGCTTAGAGTCTCAGGGAATGCAGCCCTCTTCAGCTGTAGCATGTGAGGAATTGCTCCCATGCTGAGATCTGGGGGACCCTAGAAGAGATAAATGTTCAAAAACCACCTCTGTGAGTACACACTGAAATATTTATGGATAAAGCGATACGGTATCTGGGGAGTGGGTCATGAATGGATGAAACCAGATTGGCCATGACCTGGTAATTGCTAAAGCTGATAATTGCTTTGACCTGGTAATTGACCTGGTAATTGCTTTGACCTGGTAATTGCTAAAGCTGGGTGATACCACATGGGGTTTAATTAAACTGTCCTGATGACTTTTGTATATATTTAACGTTTTTCCATGATGAAAAGTTGAAAAAGCCACACACACATGCACACACACACACACACACGCACTTTTTTTCATGTTGCAGCATTCAGAAAACTGGACTGTTTAGTCTCCAGAGAGCACAAGCTGAATACCCACAGGGCAGTAAAGCAGTATCCATAAGGCACCCCTGAGATGTGGGACAACAGTAAAGCTGACACAGCTAAATAATTTACTGCACATCGTAGGGTCGCTCTGAGCACACTGGCCTCGGATGCCTTGTTCACCAGAACGTCTCCCTTTATTGTGTGCTGTTTTCCTGTCTGAACACTCTGCCTTCCACTTCTTTCTCTTGGTATTTCTCGTTGGCAAGTTAACTTTCTCCCATAGGCAGTTGGAGCTTCTCTTTCAGGAACCATAAAGGAAGGTATGAGAGAGCTCTCCAAAGCTGCAGTTTTCAATTTTTTTGACCACAACCCGGTGTAAAAGATATGTACTTTTATCATTATAGGCAATCATAACTAAAATGTAAGTTTCAAAAAATAACACCCTTTATCAAATGGGATACATTCTGATATTTTCTCTTCTGTTCTATTCTAGTCTATTCTATTCCAATATTTTAAAAGGCTGTCATGATCCACTAAATGGAAATCATTAATAAATTTGGGATTACTAACGGGTTGCAGCCTGCATTTTAAAAACAAAATTGTGGAAAAGATATGCTGGGCAGGAAACTTACCATCTAACACATCTGGCCTGGGGTTGAAGTCATAGGCAGCTGGATTTCATTTGCATCTGACAGTGGAGAAGCCCTCCATATTTTGTGTGGGTGTTAAGGTCAGATCTACAGTGCTAGCCAAGGATTGACTAGAGTATTAAATTTCAGCATGTATTAATTGATGTGCTCATCAATAGGGCGAGATCACAGGTCATAGGCTTAAGATGGGAATTTGGTTGAACTGAGTTGTCACATGCCATCTCGTAGTTTTAAGACAGAAAAAAAAAAAAAAAGATGTGTTGGCTCATGCCTGTAACCCCAGCACTTTGAGAGGCCTAGGCAGGTAGATCGCCTGAGGTCAGGAGATCGAGACCAGCTTGGCCAATGGGGTGAAACCCTGTCTCTACTAAAAATGCAGAAATTAGCTGGGCATGGTGGTGCGTGCCTGTAAAGCTAGCTACTCAGGTGGCTGAGGTAGGAGAATTGCTTGAACCTGGAAGGTGGAGGTTGCAGTGAGCTGATTGTGCCGCTGCACTCTAGCCTGGGCAACAGAGCAAGACTCCGTCTCAAAAAAAAAAAAAAAAAATAGCCCTGTCAGTCACACCACCACTATGACTGTGGCTCACAAAAGATGTCAGGCAGCAGGGTAAGGCAGTGCATGTCATTCAGAACCAGGTGGATCTGAATTTGGATTCCATAAACTACTAACCATGTGACTTCAGAAAGATTACTTAACCTCTCTGAATCCCAGTTTTTCTCATCAGAATAGGAGAATGATAATATTTCATTTTAAATGAGAGAATATATAGCATCTAGCCCAGAATCTGACCTGAGGGCAGACCCTCAAATGTTAATCCCTTGAGGTGTTAACACACTGACCCTATGAGGTTTCCTTCAAAGGCTGTCTGCCTGGTACCCTGTATGACAAATCCATCACCCCTACTTTCCCCAGAGGTTTACTGGAGTGAGAAGAGACCCGGGAGAATACCCAAATAGAAACAAATGAAGTGCCAAAAGAGAAGCCACATTTTCAGGCCAAGTGACCTAGGCAGCGCCATTCACCAGCTTTAGCTCTCCAGTTCTCAATCATGAAATGAAGATGAAGAAAATGCTGTGTTCTCCAAGAACTCTTGACTCACATTTCCTAAAGATAGTTAGCTTCCTGGGCACTAACTCAGACCCAGTGAATCATAATCATTCTAAGCCAGTGTCCAGTAATTCACCAAGTCCTTTCCAGCCTGCTTCCTAACCCTCTCTCCAAGCCAGCTCATTTCCTCCTCCTCACTGCCCCTACCTCTGTACCCTTCCCACTCCTGCTTCCCCTCTTGTCCTGTTGACTGCATTCCTGGCTTTCAGTCTTGCTTATTCTTCAATCAGTCTCCACTGTGCAACCAGAGAGACAGTTTTTGTTTTGTTTTGTTTTGTTTTTGAGACGGAGTCTTGCTCTGTTACCCAGGCTGGAGTGCAGTGGCCTGCTCACTGCAACCTCCGCCTTCTGGGGTCAAGTGATTCTCCTGCCTCAGCCTCCCAAGTAGCTGGGATTACAAGTGTGTGCCACCACGCCTAGCTAATATTTGAATTTTTAGTAGAGATAGGGTTTCACCATGTTGGCCAGTATCATCTAGATCTACTAACCTTGTACAGCGAGTGCTTGACTTACAACCACGGTCAGGACCGCGGACCGGTCGTAACACGATTTGGTCGTAAGTTGAGTAGGCCATATGTACAGTTGAAATGGTGCATGCGGAGACGGTAGTGCTGCTGGAAGCTGGCCCGCACTGTCGTACGCCCAGCTGGGCAACGTTTGCGCTGCCAGACGCGGAGCAGTCGTGGCTAGCGATTGTGGTCCTAAAGTTGCATAGGTGGTAAGTCGATCAATACCTGTAATTCACCTGCCTTGGCCTCCCAAAGTTCTGGGATTACAGGTGTGAGCCACCACGCCCAGTGGAGACCGTTTTATAATGCAAACATGACACCAAGACTGCGGTGAAAACTTCTAGTGATTTCTCTTTGTCCTAAAAATAAAGTCTCAACTCTTAACCTCTCTGTTCCAAGGGCTCATCTTGATCTTGTCAGCACCAACCCTTGCTCTTTCTTTTTTGATCATCAGTCCCCACCCCTGGACCGTCAAGTCAAGTCCAGGATAGTAGCAGCAGTGTCTCTCCTGCTGTTGATGTAGGCCCAATGCCCAGCACATGGCCTGTTGCAAGTCAGGCACTAAATGAAAAAGCAGTTGCTAAGCTCCAACTAATCCTTTTCCATAAAATGATAGCAAGTGACCTATTTTCTGGATAAAATAAATTCCATATGAGATGGCAAATTGTCTCTTAAAGTCCTTATTGTGTTTTCTGCTAGCTGTGTAGAGACTAAATCAATTGTACTATGATGCCCATTATTTTATATTTTGGTACAAGGATGCTTTCAAGGATTTTTTGGGGGTTTTGAAGAACAAATATAATTTGGGCTCCATTTCCATACTCCTAGAAATACTCTAAGTGGATAGTGAAGCTGCTCTTTATTTTTAAACCCTCATCTCACACAGACATAATGGCCAGAGATTTCCCTTAGCAGGAGAAATGTCACGCATTATGGTTTTCATTTCCATTTAACTGGATTAAGTATTTGTTGAAGCGCTTTGTGCTGTGATTAGAGATGTTGGAATATGAAGTGCTCCTTGAACAAAAGTTATGAGTAGTCAAATGCAATTTAATTGAAAAATGTTCCATAATTAAGGCAAAACCACTTCACTTAAATAATTAGCTTGAAGTGGTCACAGTAACATAGTTAATAGATTTGCTTTCATTTCCTCTGTGTCACTGGTGCTGCCTGACAAAAGAACATTGGTGACATGGTGTTCTACAGAAAATTTTGGGCTTAGCAATTTAGAGTTCTGTGCCACATAAGTACTGTCCAACTGTCTTCCTAAGAAGGCACCTAAAGAGGTGTCAAAGTACAATAAACAACAGATCATGATGTATTCATAAAGTTAAATAAGCATTCAAAACAGAGTGTTCTGGAGAGAATATGGGTGGTTCCACCCAGCTGAGTAGTGCACATTGGAGGAATTATTTCCAGAGTTTTCTAGAGTAGTGATTCTCACATCACTACTGATTTAGGATGCTGCAAAATCTTTGGGGTGTCAACTGCAGGTGATTCAGTGTAGGCAAAGGATTATTAAATTATCAGATATGTGTTCTGAAGCTCATAGCAGAAAACCCAATTTACAATGACTTAAACAATTTCCCTTTGACATAATCAAATATCCAGAAGTAGGTGGTTCTTTGTCTTAGTTCAGCAGTTCCAAGATGTCACATGGGCACCCAGGTGCTTTCTCTTTCTGTCTGCCATCTTGCAATGCTGCCCTCATCCTTGGGCTCCTCCCACCATGGTCACAAGCTGCAGTGCCAGCCATATATCAGCAGTCTAGGTGACAAGAGGGGAAAAGGCAGGTAAGCCACATATGGCATCCTTTATCAATAGAAAACAAGGCTTCTTGGACCCCTCTACCTTGCTTAGATCTCACTGCACGGCCACCCAGGTCAGGAAGTACAGGACAGTGGAGGACAGGATTTTCATATTTGCTTCAGACCTAGCTTTATTGTAGGATAAATACACCCAACAGCAATAATTGAAACGTACCCTTAGAATGACCCTGTGTGGTAGATGCACCCGAATGTGTGCACAGTGCTAGGGAATCTGGGAGTGGTCAACTCAGAGACTCGCTCCTTGTCTATGAGGCTGTGTGTGGTTCAGCAGAGGTCCGGGTTTCTACAGAGCTGAACTGAGACTCCATCGTGTTCCATGCCAAATCAGCCAGAAGAAAGTCGGCCATCACTGTTTGAGTTTCATTGCTGGCGAAGAACAAGTTCCCCAGGGTTTCAAACGCAGAACTCATGGTCTGTGTTTCTGTACTGTTCAACTGAACTTTGCTTTCTAGAGCAGGTATATTTTTAGCAGTGGAGATTCCTTCAGTTTGAGTCTCTGTGTCAGATGAATCAGTACTCATGAAAAAGCTGGAGTGTTTCAGAATACTTCCCAGAGGCAGATGAGGGCCACTGTCTAAGAAAAAATTTAAGTCTGTCTGTGTCTGTGCATCAAACATCTCAAGGCCTAAGAAGTTAGAATTTCCCCCACACCCGTAGGACTGAGCAGAGGTATCTGCAAGTAGGAAGTCCGTTTGAGTCTCTATGTCCAGTGACTCCAAGACTGGCACAGTGTTCATGGTGCTAAGTTCACTCTCTTCAGTTTGAGTCTGGATATTTGAGGCCGAAAAGAACTCTTCAATGTCAAAATCGATTCCAGGATTCCGGGCTGGGCCAGATGGGAGCTGGGTGTCAGGTCCAGGATTTGTATCAAACAAAAGACTATGATGATCCAATGTCTGAGCAGGTAGATTACTTGACAAGATGTTTTCAAAATCACTTAATAAATCCATGGTTTTGGTCTGATTATCTGTCATGTTCTGTGAAGGAAGCATACTATTCTGTGCACTGAAGTTTATAATTGGTGCAGATTTCTCAGTATCTTGATTTAAAGTCTTAGGGTCATTCTGAGGTAACAAACTATGAGTTACTGTCTCTGCTACTAAACTGTTACTTATAATGTTACCTATAGCAACATTATATGATGAATGAACACTCTCAAAAATGTCTCCACACATTGCAGCTTGGTCCATCTGTACGTGGTCTTCTGTTGGATTTTGTATCCCACTGGTTTGAGTTTCTCTGGAGACTCCACCTGACTGGTAACAGGTGTCAATAAATGTATCAGTCTGAGCAGCTATAGATGAATTTACCTTAGAGCTGGGCAAAAATGTCTGAGTGTGAACACTAATGGGAAGAGACACTTGAGAATCAAACGACAAATCTGTTTGAGAACAAGATGACACAGAGGAATCAGTGCCGGCCCACTGTGCAGAAGGTATAAAGTTGTTTTGTGAGGCATAAGACAGATCTGTCTGCACACTGATGGAAGAAATGCTGTTCTTTTGACATGTGTTCCCTAGTTCTTGTAAAGCAGCAGACAGACTTTTATACAAGTTCACTTGAACACCTGTACTTATGGGCTCAACAGCAACAGGATTCGCAGTTTTGAAAAGAGTTTTGCTCTCCTTTAGAGAGCAACCGTCTGAATCTAGGCCAAGGATCAGAGTTCCTACCGACAAAGGCAGCAAGTGCACAGCCCCTGTGGCAGAGCCCTGATGGACACCTACCACCAAGGGCTGGGCTGAGGAGTCGGCTGTAGGCACAAAGACCAGCATAAGAGAAAACTGCATCACTGGTAGTTTAACCAAAGCCACTTCTGAGGATATCTCGGCAGTGTTGTAAGAGGTCTGCTTTTCAGTGTTAAAGCCACAGGAGTCTTCAAAAGATGGTTCTAGCTTTATTTCTGAAGCTTCTAGTTCTTGAGTGTCTAATCTAGGGACTGGCTGGTTGTTCAGTGATTCAATGGTCTTATTGGATACCTTCTGGTTTTGCAAGCAATTTTCCATTTTCCTTTTTTTTAACTAGGTGGATCCCTGTGTTCTACAGGGATCTCGTGGCCAATTCGGTAGATGTGAGACTGCATTGCTGTTCTACCGGCTTAGGGACAGCCACATGTGCACCGGATGATCTTGACACAGTCCTCTGCGTGCCTTTTGAAGTCCCATTTTGTGCCATGTGAATTGCTACACTTACTACATTTGTGCTTCTTCTCAGCATGCATTTTCATAAAGTGCTGTTTTATGAGAGAAAATTGAGAAAATGGTCTGTCAGGGCCTCTGGGGCAGCCTTCGATTGGACATCAGTAGAATTTCGGTACAGTTTTCAAATCTTTTCTTATTGTTGGATTGACTATGCCATCCTGCAGGCGGTGGCTCTTGGCCAGGTGTCTGTTGAGCCCGGGGCTCTTGGGCAGGATCTTGCCGCTCCCGCGCACGGCGCGCAGGTCGCTGGTCCGCGCGCAGGTCGCTGGTCCGCGCGCAGGTCGCTGGTCCGCGCGCAGGACGCTGGTCCGCGCGCTGGACGCTGATCCGCGCGCAGGACGCTGATCCGCGCGCAGGACGCTGATCCGCACGCCTGGGCAGTTGGCTCTCCAACAGCTGATCAGCTCCCCCCGCCAGTAGCGCGGGGGCCGTGGACTGCTGCGTCGCCCCTGTGGGTCGAGGCCGGCCGCCCCTCAGTTGGGGTCCCGGCGGCACCTACGGGCCCAAGGCGGCTGCGGCGGCTCCTCTTGTGGCTGCCGGGACGGCCCGGGTACCCGCTGCCAGCCCACCGCCACCTCCAAGGCCACCATGGCTCCCGCACGGCTGCCGCGCCCAGATCGCAGGCCGAGAAAATCTTATAGAACTAAGGGAGAATCCCAGGCTGAAGGTCGGAAATTAACAAGTATGACTAATTTTCACCCAAAGGTAAACATCAGCTGCAAGAGGAATACCTTCATAGGTTTACTCACTTGCTTCTAGGTTCCTTTCACATTTGGGGAAGGCTGAAGCAGTTTCGCTGACTGTGGTCCTCCTCTTGAGCAGGCCACATACAATCTCCCTCATCTCATTGATTGGGGCATGTACCATTGACTGGGGTTCCCACCTCTGGAACCCTCTGGCATAACCACAGTTATTTCCTGGAGTCTGGGCTAGCATGCTGCTAGTGAGGAAACAGTCAGAGGTTAAATGCCAGGATGAATCTATTAGTTTTATGCAATGGAAGCTCCAGACCTTCTGTCCCAGAGAATCCCTGGCTTTGGTGGCTCAGGTCACACTCAGAGTCAAGGGCACCAGATGAGGACACATTGCAACTCTTACAACTGGAAGAATAGTTCATATCACTGCTCTGTTAATGGCATGTAAATGAAAGGAAGGGTCTCTTACTGCATGGAATTTCTAGTGGTCCACAGTTTTCTTTTAAGCAGAGTTAGGCAGACATTTAATTTTTTTTCAATGGCTATCAATGAAAACAGCATTCCACTTTTAAGTCGTTCATTGTACTTCCCAAGTGAGTACTTGCTCTGTGGTACATTGTCCCTTAGAGGAAGCAGAGGCATTGCTTTTTTAAAGTGAATAACATGGACTGTTTTTTCATATTCAAATGTGAAATGAATGAAACATGTGGCTAACAAGCAATTACAATTTCAGTCTTTCTCTTCAGCATAAGACTTAGGCATATCTTAACAGGATTGAAAATACCAGCATGTGGTAAATAAAAGAATTAATTGTGTCCTCACTCTTAATGATAATTTAGCTGGGTGTAAAATTCTATCCACCAACTGATGAGTGCATAAACCAAATATGGTATATCCATGAAATGGAATATTATTAACTAATAAAAAGGAGTAGTGATACATGCTGCAACATTGGACAAAACTTGAAAACGTTATGTTAAGTGAAAGAAAACAGATACAAAAGGCCATATATTATATGATTCCATTTATATAAAATATCCAAGATTGGCAAATCTGTAGACATAAAAAGTAGGCTAATGGATGCCTAGGGTTGACAGTGGGGTGGGGTGATTGGGGAATGGTGGCTAGGGCGTATGGGTTGTCTTCTTGGGCTAATGAAATATTCTAAAATGGGTCATGGTGATGGACACATAACTGTGACTCTAATAAAAGCCATTGAATTGAATTGTACACTTCAAATGGTTGCATTATGTTTGAATGATACTTTGATAAACCTGTTTGTTTGTTTTTAAGTAGCCATGGGCAGCCACTCTTTTCTGGGCATATGCTTACATTTAGGACCCTCTTTTTGGTCTCCTCTGTGTGGTTCTAATATTCCTGGCTTGTTTTTAATGCCTTCCTTTCATTGCTCTATTTGAAATCTCCTTTTTGTTTTATTGTACTGAGCTTTTCATTTGCCTCGTGGCTCTGCTTGTTCTCCTAATTTTGGTGAGTCTGCCAACCTTTGGCGACCATCCCTCTTCCTTCTCCAGCTCCAGGTTTCCACCATGATCTTGCATAACAGATGAGGAATGCAACAGAGACAGACCCATGCTCTCCTCCATAGTGGCTTTTCCTTGGACCATAAGAGGAGCTTGGTTATTTTTCCTTACTGCAACTACCTTTTGTGAGTATAGTTCTTTCACAAGGCAGCTTTCATGCTCACTATTATACTTGCTTTTCACAGTAATCCTGTGAAATGAATACAATAAGTGTTACCCTCCTCGTTTTACATGTGAGGAAACTGAGCTCAAAGAGGTTAGCCAGGCTCCAAGTCACACACAGGCTCATACAACTCGGATCTTCTGAGTCTAGCTCTATTATACTTTCCATTGATTCAGGATTTCCCAACATAAAATTCTAGGATTAATCCTTTACTCTTAATAAATTGCTTTTTTTAATCTCTGTTCTTCTCTCATGTTTATTGAGCATCTGCTATGTGTCAGACACTACTAGGTGCTGGAGATATGTTTGAGAAAAAAGTCCCAGCCCTACAAACTATCAGAGAAAGTAGACATGCCTCTCTCCTTATCTTTGCCCAGATAGTATCACCACCACCACCCAAAACACCCACCTCCCATCCTCCGCTACCACGCACCATCTGGCATGACTTCCGTCTCCTCTCTACAAGGTTAATGTCTATCTCTCTAACTTTGAAGGCTCTCCTACCTAGAGTAACACACCTTCCTGAGAATACACAATCCACAGGGGCTTTTCTCTACTTTCCTTTGTTGTTACATATAGGTTTTAAGTGAAGGCAACCATGAGCTAAGTGCTACTCCCCTGCCATATTCAGAAAAAAAGAAAATAAATAATCCTCTGAACCTGAAAGGGCTCAGAGCAGAGATATGCAAAGTCATCTTAAAGAGACAGAGTGGCTCCCAGGTGGTCCAACTGCCGGTAATTTGATTGAATGTACTAAAGTATCTAAAGAAAGAAACCATCATGAAGAGGGGGTTGGTCGGCCAGGGAAATTGGAAAAGGGACAGTTCCTGAAGCAAATGTTGCTGGGGCCGTTCAAACATTATTCAGGGAAAGGGGTGCCCAGCCAGCATGCAGAACAGGAATGACTTGTAGTCATGGTCCAGTGGCTACCAAAATCTTCTGGGACCCCTGATTCATATAACTCCCATCTGTTGCTCTGATGCCATGATGAGATAACCAGCCTTTAAACTGGCTTCCCTTGCTTACCTGTGGGGAAGAAGGGGCTGTTCAAGCTGGCATATTATCTGACCTACCCAACAGTTCCTTTCTCACTGGAAGTTAATAAATAGCAGTGGCTTTGTGCATCAGCATGGGAGTCTTTGGGAGATGGTTAGGTCATGAGAGCAGATTCCTCATGAATGGGATTAGTACCCTTAGGAAAGAGGCCCCAGAGAGCTGCCTTGCCCCTTTGATCATGTAAGGACACAGCAAGAAGATGCCATGTGTATTAGTCAGGGTTCTCCAGCGAGACAGAGCTAATATGTACATTATTATATATATACACACATACATATATATGTATATATGCACACATATACAAACACATATATAATATATGTATACACACATATTATATATATATATGGGAATTTATTACCTCACACAATCACAAGGTCACACAATAGGCCATCTGCAGGCTGAGGAGCAAGGAGAGACAGACAGAGTTCCAAAACTGAAGAACTTGGGAGTCTGATGTTCAAGGACAGGAAGCATCTGGCATAGGAGAAGGATGTAGGCTGGGAGGCTAGGCCAGGCTCTCTCTTCGTGTTTTTCTTCCTGCTTATATTCTAGCAGCGCTGGCAGCTGATTAGATTGTGCCCACCCAGATTGAGGGTGGGTCTGCCTTTCCCAACCCACTGACTCAAATGTTAATCTCCTTTGGCAACACCCTCACAGACACACCCAGTATCAATACTTTGTATCCTTCAATCCAATCGAGTTGACACTCAGTATTAACCATCACACTGTGTATGAACTGGAAAGCAGACCCTCATCAGATACCAAACGTGAAGGTACCCTGAGCTTGCACTTCCCAGCCTCTAGAATTGTGAGAAATAAATTTCTGTTGTTTGTGAGTCACTCAGTCTCACTCGTGTGAGACACACGAGTCAGCCTCATCTAGATCAGACAAGGTGACTTAACAAGACCTCACAAAAGCTGGTGTTTATCTCACTAAGGCCAAAGGCAGAACCCTGCACTACCCTAAATCAGAGAAAATGGCACTTTATGTGGCTGAGTGGGTGATATACCCACTTCCCTCAAACCCCTAAACCTAACAACAAATGATAATTGGTTGATACATTATCCTAGAGGGAAGACTTGAAGAAAACCCAGGCCTGACCCCTGCTTGCTTGCGGCTTAAGCACTTCTATAATTTTGGTTGCTGTTGTAATAAAGCCAAATTATCAAGGCTATGACATTTGTCAAGGGAAACCTGGGAAAAATGATCGTTTGAGTAAAAATGCATTTTTATTTTTATTTTTATTTCAGACCAAGTCTCTCACTCTGTCACCCAGGCTATAGTCAGTGGTGTGATCTCGGCTCATTGCAACCTCCACCTTCTAAGTTCAAGTGATTTCTTGTGCCTCAGCCTCCTGAGTAGCTGGAACTACAGGCACGCGCCACCATACCAGGTAAATTTTTGTATTTTTAGGAGAGACTAGGTTACACCATGTTGGCCAAGTTGATCTTAAACTCCTGACTCAGGTTATCACCCTCCTTGTTCTCCCAAAGTGCTGGGATTATAGGCGTGAGCCACCACACCCTGCCAAAAATGCATTTTTAAATATATTTAGTTGCAACCATTTTGGTAGGCAATGTCCTTACTCAGTATTTAATGTAATTTTCAAAAGCTGAATCCATTTTAAAGTTCTACAATTTGGAACTGCAACGAAAGTCCATCTGTGGAGGTGGACCATCAACAGAAGTCCCTG